TAAAATGTAATAAAACATAATAGAAATTTATACATATTTATATGGCTCGAGTTCGCATAGTAGTATCATTCTCATAAAAAGATAGAAGATATACGCTCTCACTCTATCAACTCAATCCCCTGATTATAACTACAAGGCATATCCATGGTATATAAAATCTATGTCTAATAATTACAAATTATGAACATGGAGAGTTCAACTTATTCAAGAAAAATACTTTCCAAATCTTAACTTTGAAGATAAATATCTTGACAATGGTCGTAGAATAAAAATTTATATAGAAACTTATAGGGTTATTTTCACCTGTGTTCTTAAAACGAGATGAAAATTACAAAAGTGAGCAAATTTATTAAGTCTTGATTAATAAAATTATGTATAAATATTCTAGTAAATTTGCTAACTTTTGTAATTTTCATCTCGTTTCAAGATACACGATCAACTCTCATCTGATTAACTATCATCCTTGTGACTTTAAAACGAGAATTTGTGATCCAGTTATATTACTTTTTCCGGGACACCCTATATATACAAAGTGTCCCATTTTAATTGTCCCAGGCAAATATTTCGAAAAATTATTTGGCGCGTAGTTTAAAGGACTACATACGCGTATATAAATTCATAGAATTATTAGACCGTTAAAAGGCATTTATTTCCTATATATATTGGTTGAAATTATATAATTTTTCTTTTACATAAAATGATTCTTCTAATTATTCTGCACATAAAAGAGAAGTTACCAAAACATCAATAATATACAATATATTTTTTTATGTTAAGTGTGCCAGAATAAAATATAAAATAATAATAAGATTGAAAGACCGCTAATGTTAAACATAATATAAAATATCTTGTGAACTTCGTTTTCTTGATAACTCTATCTTAATATTTTTAACATTACTTTGAAAAATTCTAAAATATTTCTCTGTCTTTCATACATTTTTGGGATATTGCCTAGGGCAATTAAAATACTGTGTACAGGTTGTTCCAAAATCCCTAAAAATCAGGGTTGGTAAAGACTAATGTTTTTTTTTTAAGAATAAAACATATTGTGTTTCTTCTTAAATATGTTTTTAATGCTTCAAGTATGCTTCAAACAGTACTATAAAAAAACATATATTTAAAACGTATTAAAAACATCAACTAAGCATGTTTTAAACTGTTTAAAACGTGTTTAAAGCATGTTTTTTTTTACCAACCCTGCTAAAAATAGAGTACAAGAAAGTTTTTTAAAAAATTAATAAAAGTATAACGTCATTTTTTGTTTTATGAGCAGTAGTTTTCGTGACCTAATGAAAAAACAAATAAACGAAAGAATAAATAGATAAATTAGAAAAGATTAGAAGTTATAATAAATCACGGCACATATGCAATTAGATTGCAATTAACTATTCTAATTCTGTATATTATCGTATTGGTATAAATTGTAATTTGAATAATTTTCTGTAGAATCAAGCATTATTAGCAATATGTCTTTAATGATCTAAAAATTTGCATTTGTTGTATTTATGTATGAACGTTAAATCAGAATTATGTTATACATCATGTAGTATAGTATTGCACGGACATATGTACAAGATGTTTTATTCAAATGTAAATGGATCGAATATCTCGGAAAATATGAAAGGTACGAAAAAATTTTTCAGATGAAAGTTGTACAGGATGCAATTATTGAAAAATCAATAATTTACGAGATATTTCATGTTAATATGTGCCAAAATAAAATATAAGATATCTCGTAAATTATTTTTTATAATTTTCAATTTCATTAAAAAAATGGCGGTATACATGATCTTGAAAAATTGATTTTTTTTTTCAATAATTTTACTAATATTTGCGTCCCTCAAACCGTACAACTTTAATTTGAAACATTATGTATTTCCCATATTTTCCGAAATATGCAACACGTTACGTTTGAAACAAAACACTCTGTATGCATATATATATATGCAATGTATTTATTTACTGGTAGTAAATAGTAAATAATGTGAAGTATTGACACCAAGATTGATACCTAATGATATTTACATATGTGCAAAAATATGTAACATTATATTTACAATACTTAATTAAATTATTATAGATATATATCTGCATGACTCACGAATAAACAACCATCTAATAAGTTTAATTACAGATCTTGATTGAGCATTTTAATTAAAAATTTGAAAAATTACTGCATGAAATAAGAAATGGCATATACCTTTATTTAATTTTTCAAAAATCTTTCTGCATTATATATCATTCTAGCAAATTGTGGCGCGCGCTCTCTCTCTCTCTCTCTCTCTCTCTCTCTGTGTGTGTGTGTGTGTGTGTGTGTGTGTGTGTGTGTGTGTGTGTGTGCGCTGCAAAAAAAACATTAAACTTTACATTTTCATATAGTTTCTTTATATATATTTATATTATTTATAATTTTATTATCAATTTCATACCTTATTAATGTTCTATTCAATGTCTGTGGATAAGTTAAAAATATCGATAAAATATGAAATATATTGGAATAAATTATAATAGAATAATACTTATATATTATTACATTATTTGCATATAATTTAAGACATTTCATATAAATTTTTGGAACAATATACACATCTTCAATTATTTGCAACTTTTACAATGTTAATTATAGCTACACTAAACAGATTTCAAATGTAGCATAGAAACGTTTACCATTAGTTCGCGATACTACATTAAATTTTGCTTTTGTCATCCATTAATACACTAATGCAGTGTACCTACCACAATAATCATTAATTAATATGTTTACAATTACTCTTGGCCAAAGCCTTCCGTTTCTTCGATTGCGTAATTCAGTTTTTCTACTAATTGGTCGTAACTTTTGTAAGGTGGTAAATCTAATCTGTTGAAACAGGTATGTGATCTTGGTAGCCAAGTATCTTTGCCAAATTTCTCTATACAAAATCTTTGTGGCCCATTACTACCTGTAATACAATATAGCACAAAATTCATATTATTATTAAACTTTCTTAATTATCAATTCATTGTTTAAATCAGTAAATAATAATATTGATCAATTCATGTTGAATTAATCTTTTTATGAATTGTATCTACATTTATAAAATAAAATATATGACACACACACGTACCCAGGATTGGGTAGTGTCCAGTTAAAAAGATAAAAAGTTAAGTTAAAAGTTAAATAATTTTAACTTGACCTTCAGTTACATTTTAGATTCTTAATTTTTAACTTAATGTAGTTACATTTTATCGGCAATTACTATTAACTTTTAATTTCACTTTTTTGAAGTTAGTCTTGCCATAAATAAATACGTCGCGAAACATCGTGCGCCTACATAAAAGTAACTTTACATTATGGGCCGGTCTCACCAACTCCGATTAATTTATAGCATTTTTCATAGTATTTGAAGAAACATTCAGGAAACTAATTCTAAAATTCTAATTCCTATTCTTAATAAATATATTTCTAAATAAAGTGTATATTTGTTATTTCAATTATTTGTAAAACTAAAATTCTGAAATCATGAAGCGAAACACATTTAATTTTTAACTTTTCAATTATTTTCTTTTTATTAACTTAATTTTTAATTCAGTTGATTTCATTATGGATTAACTCTTGTATCTTAACTAACATAAGTATAATTTTCACAATTAAATTTAAAACCTGACTTAGTTTAAAAAAAATAAGTTTGTCTCTTTAAAACTTACCCATTAGTTCAGCAAATCCACCAACAGGTACACGGCAAGTACCAGTTACAAACTGCAATAATCTAGCTCTTTTTTCGCTATCTGTTCTTGTTACAAACTAAAATGCAAAGAATACATATTTGAACTTGACCTTGTCTAAAACAATAAAGTTTGATATAACATTAAGAATATTGTACCTGCCAAAACCACAGAATCTGTTTGCTGTTACGAGTATAATGTCTATAAATAGTATTGCGTTGCCAGTCTTCAACGTCTATTTCTTGCATACCGCAAAGCATGAGCTCTAACTCACGTTCATCGAAATATTTGAGCCATTCAAGTGGCACAACCGAATTGAAACCTTCTAAAAATGCTTTAGTTTGCTCCTCTATACCTCTTGTCATCCTCCATTCTGTCATCAACCTGTTGAATATTCACAAATAAAAACGTATTTCTTATAACAAATTCTCTTATAGCGATTGAGCACATTAATGCGCACTAATGTATCCAATCGAATTTGCTACTACAAATACATGCATACATACACAGATTATTGTATTAATAAAAAAGTGACATTTCAAAATTAGCAACTTTTCAGTTGCATTTTTTAAATTCTGAAACGTTTTATAATTAGGATAGCAAATATGCAATTTCTATAACTTTATTCTCTTCCTACACATGTTATACTTTCAATCATAATGTATTTTTTAAAACTATCATGAATTTTTAAAATTCGAACATTGCAATCCTAGTATAGTGTAAAGAATTTCACCCATTTTCTTTTCATAAGAGTTTTGGACATCCAGTGATCAATTATACAGGGTATCCCAGTTTACTTGACCACATCAAATATTTCTTGAACAGTGCATTTTAGGGAAAAATGCTTTAGACAAAAGTTTTGTGACTTCGAGGGGGACATAAGATGATTGATAACATTTGTTCTTTGAGGATCCAAACCTATTTTTTTTTAAATGCTATCATTATCTATAAAATTTTATATGATTAATGTGTGATCGAACGCGATAGTCTAAAATGGACGAAGTTCTTTCATCAGAGTTTTGATACTTTTTTATATAAGCAAAAATCTAGAAATACGTAATTTTTCTACAAAAATATATTAGTCTCTATAGGGTCAATTCCATGATTTCAAATTTTCTTTCACCTCAAAAATGTTAATTTTTTATTTATGTCACTTTTCTATCAATGCAATAATATACGCACTCGTGCAATAATATACGCACGTAGGTTCTTTCTTATTTTTTTTTATGATTTTCTATATTACAATCATCTTTGTTACAAAGAGATGTACCTAATGTAATCTTCCTTATTGTCTTCACCTACTCTAACTTTATCACCACCTTCCTTTAATTCGTGATGTATCACTTGACCAAGAATCTCAAAATCCACGCTATAATATAATTCTAGGCCACATTCATCGATATTATTTTCTTTTATCCATACGAGAGATTTGTAGAATTCCGGATCAATAGATTCTATATCCTTCATTACTAATTTTTTATTCAACATGCGCTTATAAAACGGCATTGTAAATCCACTATATATAAATCGGCCGTGATAAAGAGCCTGAAAAAATAAAAAAATATAATGATTTTCATATAATATAGTACGAAAAAAGAACATGAACCATTATCTACAAATAGAAAAAACATACCATTGCAATAAATCTTCCTATAAACTTGAAATATTGTAAATGATCCGGATTAACGTATGATGCTGGGTTTATTTGTAAACTATAATTACTTTTATTGGCATACTCAAATAGGCAATACATCGGATTTAAAACTTCGTGGCTTAATAAGAAAAACCACTCCCTGAAAATTAGAATTATTTAACTTCTCCATGACAACTGAGAATGAGCACTACATAAATGAGCTTTAATACTGTAGCTTTTCGTACAAAGTGGATGTGTAACTCGAAACATCTCTTTACTAATAAGTTTCTTATTATATATTTGTATATCATACCTAGATACACCTCCATAATCTAGTCCCTCTTCTCCTTTAAATATTATATATAATCGTCGTCTTAGTGCAAAGGCTTCCGCGTTCATTATTTGATGGTAAGAATCTTCGAATAATGTTTGCCGACTAACGCTAATCTTAATATGATTAGGCAGGGCATTAGTCTGGCACAAAAATCGGAATTGAGACAATTTCCATCGGAATGACCTTTCGTATGCCCTCGGAACGCGATATACACCTTTTGGGCTGTACAAGGCAAATAGAATATGTAGTTATAACTTTTTTTTATTTTACACTGTAGCCGTATTCTGGTATATACACCGCCAGTACTGAAAATCTATAGTGCACGTCACTTATACTATAGATTTTCAGTATTGGCAGAGTATACCGGAACATGACATGTTAAGTTTGACCAGGGCTGGGTAAAATGCCTTTCGAATTCCATTTAAAATACTAATTGTAAAATACTTTTAAAAAATGTATTTAAAATGCAAAATGCAAAATAGGTTTTTCGAATCCATTTTAAATGTAAAATGGATAAATAGGTATTTTAAATGGTTTTCGAATGCAAAAATGGTTTTTCTTGCCATAGCGGAAAAAAATTTTTACGAAAAAGTACAGCACAACTATCTAGAGATAAGATCTTAGAAATTCTTAATTTTTCGTAGATATTCGTAGTGAGACATAAAGTGAGATTTGTTTGTCTCAAAAATCCCTAGTTTTTCGTAAATATTCGTATGTAAGACGTAAAATGGCATTGTTTGTGGGTGGAGGATTTTTTGGTTTTTCAAACAAATAACACTACTTTACGTCCCACTACAAATATCTACGGAAAACTAAGAATTTCTAAGATCTTATTTCAATCTATATAGTTTTTTGTAAAAACTTTCCGCCAAGATGGTATAAATTGCATAAAAGTATTTTACGTTTGAAATCCATTTTCAACATAATTTGAAGCCCTGACTACAATATTATAAATAAAGTATTTCTCACGGGAATATTTTAAATTTTTTAATATTATAATTTGGAAATGGGACCGTTTACTTGAATAAATCAAATTAATATGAAAAGCGCCGGTTACGGTCAAAATTAGATGTTAAGTAATATACATTTTTAGAAATGTATATAGTATTTTACATAATGCAGGAACATTCATTTTTTATTAAGAGATATTTAATCAATATTTATGGACTCTCTATTTGGAATTAATTTTCTCTTTACAGTTCAATTTGCAGTTTATTTGAATATTCATAAAAATCTTCGGTTAATCATGGGACTTAGTTCTTTTTATACATCAATAATTCTAGGGAAAATTTGTGAAAACATAGAAAAACCATTTACCTATTTTATGAATGGTTAAATGATAGACAAGATTCCATTTCAAATGTAAAATGCTATTTCCATTTTAAATACATATTTAAAATGGAACTATTTTTAATATTACCCAGCCCTGAGTTTGACACAATATATTTGACACTAACCCTTTGGGTGCACCTGGTCTTGGATCCTGAAACGTAGTCGTTCGAGTGTTGTGATCCACAAAATATCGAACTCCATCTTCCGTCAATCGTATTTCCCAGCCATCCGGCAACGGTGGCTCATCCATTCCAGTCTCTTGACCTTGAGTTCGAGGATCCTCCCATTGCGTAGTACGGTTTTTATGATTTACATAATAAACTCTTCCTTCTGGTTGTTTCCGTTTTTCCCAACCTGCCGGTAATGGTCCCAGAGCATCATCATCATCTACCATGGATGTCGATGGACCAACAGAAGCTTGATTACTGTGAGCCTATAATAAAATAATACAACAATCCAATCAGTACAAATGCTATAATAAAATAATACAACAATCCAATCAGTACAAATCTGATTTAGTGTTTTCTTATGTTAAAATAACTCAAATAAAAGTGTTAATTTTTCTATTACTTAATAGAACAATCATCGTTTTTTATCTTATTTAGACAACTATTGGCGAACACAATCATTTATTATGTGCGACATTATATTCTTTTATTTATAATATTATTCTTCTTTTCATATTCTTCTTTTCATATTATTTGTTATGTTATCTATTATTAAAGATGACCACATTAAAATCAAAATGTTTGATTTTGCTATTAATGTATATTTACAAACTTTATACCAGCACAATCAATTAGTGATTACCTTAACTTTTAATCTACTGAGTCTTTAAATTATTTTGTTTTAATTTGTTTAATCAGTCTAGTTACCTGAGGATAAAGAAATCTTTGATTGCCTTGTTGTACGACATATTGCCTTTCACCTTGCCAATGTTGGAAATGTTGTAACCTTTCTGTATTTGGCCTTTGCCACGTGGTACTTCTTGTATTATGATCCACATAATAAATTCTACCTCTTGGATCTCGACGAACTTCCCAACCAGGAGGCAAAGGCTGTGGTCTCTCCCAAGACGTGCTTCGAGTATTGTGATCAACATAATATCTAATAGCATAACAGATATATGATAGAGATAATATCTAATAGCTTGAGAGATATAAGATAGAAATAATTACCTTCTTCCATATAAATCATATCTCATTTCCCAACCAGGCGGCAAGGGTTCTTCGGAATGGTTGATATCTTCAGTAAGCACTATGGAAGATCCTGGTTGTGTCACAGATTGTCCAGGCACAGATGCAGCAATAGATTGACTTGAAGCTGTGGTCTGTGGAATTCGTGGTACACTGGAACGAGAATCTGGTAGCGCAACAGGAGATATATGTTCCACAATAGGAATTGTTCGTCCATCGGGAATTACTGCTGATTGTTCTGATCGAAATATTACAGCACGATTATCCGTCAGTGGAACATTTGCATTTTGCTGACTACGCGAAACTCCGCATAGATCTAGATGCGATGCTGTACTTATTGATTGTTCTACCCGCGGAGTTCGCAACTCCTCTTGCGGGCGAACATTCGTGGATTGTTCCGACTGTTGTCTTGTCGCACGTAAATCTTCACGAACATTTGACGATTGCTCGGGTTGCCTTATTCCTCGTAAATCCTCGGCTACACGAATGTTTGCAGATTGTTCTAATTGTTGTCTCATTCCGCGTTGATCCTCATTTGTCATACTCGTTCTTCGAATATTTGCCGGTTGATCCTGTTGTCTCTGACACAACAGATCGTCTGGATCCAAAGGAATATTATTCACCAATTGTTCCAAACGTGCCATTACACGGCCGTCTGCGACAATCGATTGCTCTAACCGCAGGGCACTAGCACTGCCACATGTATCCACATGCGACGATGCTTTCGCATCTGTCTGAGAAGCACTGGAACTGTCCATATTAGGAAGCATAGATTGATCTTGTCGCGGAATCACACGGACATCCGCGCAAATCTGTTGTCCGGATATCGAGGAAGATTGTTCTGATCGCGGCGGGCCACGTGAATCCGACTTGACAATTGCAGATTGATCCACGTTGCTGTTATTGCTCCATGTACACGCTCGGCCATCCGATGAATTAGCCGATGCCAACGATAGCTCTTTAATGGCCGATCTACCTGCGAAAGTTCGTACATCTGTGGCATGCCGATTTCCTGGTGACACCATAGATTTATCTGTCATTGGAATCGCGTGTCCGTTCACTAAAATACTTGTGGAAACGCTGCTACTATTAGCGCTACTACCGACATTGCCACCCAATGTACCATCTGTATTCGAGATTGTAGTAGAAAGTCCAACATTTTTGTTGCTGTTTGCTTGACTGTTTCCACCACTATAATTGGAACTAAGGTGAATGTTTGTCAAACCACGATATATAGATGGTGCGAGATTCTCTGAGCTATGTAATCTCATGCGCGCACGCACTCCACCATTGAGAATGCTTCGGTTATTGACTGTATCATTTGTGGCACCTAAAATGATACAATTTGAATAGGAAAAAAAAAAAAGAAAATTGTGGTAACATATATTCTTTCAATCTCTTTTAACACCTTCTATGCCAGGCTAATTTTAACCGAATTTGACTTCACCATCATGTTGCTTAGGTTGCACGTCGGTATTTTTATTTGCATTTGTTTTTATGTATTAAATAACATATATATTTCATAATGATTGATAAAATACAAAAATTATTATTAAGAAGATAGTCTAACGTACTAGAAGATAGTCTAACGCACTAATATATTGCATTATACAGTATAATTATGTATATCAACAATTATTTCATAATTATGTTTCTTTTTACAGCCAAAATATCAAACGGCTTAAATAGTAAGTCCATTGTGATCTTAGATGATCTACGCGGCATGGAAAGTGTTAAACAAACTTCCATTATAGATGTTAAAACATTATTTTCGAAGTTTTTTGTATATTGATCACTGTAATATTATTCTTACCATC